GGGGGCGGGCAGGGGGCGGGGGCGAGCGCAAACCGCGAGCTGCAATGCTTTCTCATTCGTCTGGGTCTGGCATGCGTCTGCTGGCGCCAAGCAAGCGTCCTATTAGTACCTGGTTCTAAATCTGTTTCTGTCCCTCTGTCTCCTTCTCCCTTCTGTCTCCCTGCGTCTCCCTGTCTCCCTCTGTACCTTTCTGTCTCTGCTCTGTCACACACTTTTGCGAGCCAGCCCCATATGACCTGCCCAACGCCACGTCGACTGTGACGGGCGCAACGGCGCACGCATAACCAATAAGGTAGGTCAGAAATCATCCCGCCGGACCGATTTTACTGCACGGCGTGCCGGCGACCTTCGGCCTGGGCCTCGGCAACGCGATCGCATATTCCATATCGCACAACGGTAGACGAACAAAAGGCGGCGGAGAGGTGGCGCATCTGCGTGCGGGTAATGCCGGGCAGGATGTACTCTATTATCCGGTTAATGCTGATAGGACACCGATGTGGGAGAGAGAGGGGAGATAGAGAGGGTGGGACCGGGGGAGAGAGAGGAACAGATAGGGAGAGAGTGAGAGAGAGTGAGAGAAAGAGAGAGAGAGAGAGAGCGACAGAGAAGAAAGACTCTGTGGATCAAAGGGGTGGGGTAGGGTGGGGACAGTCTGAACCGCGTCCTTGCCAACATGGCGCGTCTGTTCTGTACACATGTCTCTCTTCGGCGGAGGACCGCCGGTCTGTCAGTGACACCCGTCATGCTCTCCTCCTGGTGCACGCTGGGCGCGTTCTCGCTGCTCGGCCTCCAGCTCTTCCTCCTTTACGGCGCCACCGTGGTCTCGGCCAGCAGAAAGTCCCCCGTTGTGAGTACAGTATACTGTCCTTTTGGGGGTGTCCCAATACGCCAAAAGGCGTTCTGTGCAAGATTCAGGGCCACTACAGGTGTATGAAAAGCAAGTTCCAAAAAAAGTCGTTCTGATTCCTAACACTATACCCACAGTCCTCACCCTCACCGGCTAAGCAAGGCAAAACCATTTCCATCTAATCAATGCCGGCACTGTTTGTTGTTGACGCTGTTCTTCCTGTCCGTAACGCTCCCATGGCTCTCGCAGCAGCACATGCTGCGCCTAAGCGGCCTGGGCAGCCGCCTCGTCGTCGAGATCCCCGAGATCCACTCGTGCGAGGTGGCCAACAACGCGATCACCTTCGCGAACGTGCACATGGGCATGCTCAACAAGGTGGACTTCGTCGTCGACGCCGACCTCAACGTGTCGCGGGCGGCGAGCTCCCTGCGCGAGGTTTGAACAAGTTTACGCTCCCACCGGCTCGCCGCCGGTCGCCATGCCTTCCTGTCCCCGACGCTCACCACCGCTCGCCCCTGCAGGTGGTCGTCGAGCTCCACAAGTGCCGCGACGCAGTCTCCGCCAACACCTGCGAGTACTTCCAGACGTGGCGCTTCAAGGACCGCCTCTGCGCCGAGTGGAACGACCCGACCAAGCCGTGGAACTCGGTGCTGGGCTCCATCGAGCCCCGACTGGACTGCCCCATCAAGCAGGTGAGGGACTTGTCCATACGCCGCCGGCCGCCGGGCACCCTGACCAGACCATGACGGCATTCGCTCCTGCCGCAGGGAGAGTACCACATACGCAACGGCAGCCTGGACCTCAGGGCGCTGCAGGGGCTCCCCATTCCTCTGGAGGGCAGCGTCTGGAAGGTGCGGGCCTCCACGATGGAGGAAAACCACGAGGTGCACACGTGCACCGTGATCCACATGGAGCCGCACCGCGTCCGCGACTAGAAGCACGGGGGGAGGCCTCGTCGTCGGCGTCCAGCTCAGCGGCATGGAGCCATGCCGCGCCCCCAGTACGTGCCGCCCCGCTCGTCTCTTCGCGTCGCGCGCGCGTCACTGCCCTTTTTTTTTTATTATTATTATCATATTTATAAAGCAAAAGCAAACATGTTTTAATATAGAAGTGCCGCTGTGGCGGAACGTGCAAAGTTCCACACCTGCACCTCACAGCGCCAGCCCCCTGTGCCTGACGTTTGTGATATATCGGATTACCGTCATTATTATTTCGGAGGCAGGCGGCGAATAGTGGTCCAATGCTGGCACCAGAAATTCGCGGCAAGGGGGACCTTGCCCATTGACGTCACGTCCACGAGTCCGGGCGAGAGACACGGGCGGCAGCACGGTGACGCGGTCGGCGGCAATGCTCCTCCGGAGCGAGGACGTGCCGGGGTGGGCCGGGGCCGAGTCCCGCCCGGGCCGCCCGCCTTGGGTATTCGCTTGGTCCTGGAGTCCACACGGGTGGGTGCATTGCTCCCCTGCCCCGCCTCTTACGCGGGGTGTCGGGCATGCAATCAGAGCGGTTTGTGGTTTGACGAGTTCATCGGATATATCCTGAAAAAATTAAGTCATCAGTTTCAATGACACGAGTGGACAACTCATGGAAGCCAAAACGTTTGTTTCTATCAAATTTAAAACTTAGTTTTGTGCCCTCATTCTATACAATTTTTTCCTGCTCATCTCAGCACACTGACTGTATATAACGTGTGCATGCCGATGCACCCTTTACATAATGTGTGCATACCGAAGCACATTGTGGTTCACAGACCCTTTATTTTCCCTTATTTTTTTTATTCTGCAGGCGTGCGGGCTGTCTTGCCTACCGTCGCTCAACACGCCTTATGGCTCCGTGTGAGTATGCAACCCGCTCACACGCCTGCATGCCGAGCAAATTGAAGAAAGGGGTCTGTGGACCACCCTGTATAAAGGGTGATGCCATGCACTCTAAGGTGGAGTGAAGGTCCACTTTTTGTAGTCGCCGAATAGTAATAATGCGGGAAAGTTGCCTCGCTTACTGTTGACTTTTCAGTGACTCATGGCTTTCCCTCGTAAAATTGTGCATGCTACACACACGCCACCCTACACACCACCCAATGCGCCCGGATAGTGAACAGCGATAAGGCAACATTAGTTGATTAATTGTATTTATGGCATAAAAAGGAATAATCTGAAAAACCACCCGAACCAAAAACAAAACAAGTAATTTTCTGTTGTTTTCACTTCTTGACTCTTGATTTTATTCACTGTTTACTAATTGTTTTGCGGTTTTTTTTACGAAGAATTCGCCTGATTCTCTTCCGCCCCGCAACGCCACGGATTGGATGTCTTTTGGGGGCGGGCCGCAATCATGTAGAAGCCGGGGGCGAGTCCAAATAGCGCAATGAGAACCGGGATTGTCATCAGTCACGAGAAGGCGGGCGAGTGGCGTGTTGTGTTGAGACGCGCGGGATCGGATGGTCCAATGTGGACAGTGAGCCGCCCGGAGCCGTCGGCCCAAGCCTCCCTGACCGCCCTTCCCCTCCCTGCCCTACCCCGCCCCACCCCGCCCGACCCTGCCCCACCACGCCCCGCCCCGCCCGCGCACACCACCTTAGAATCCGTTCTTACAAAGTCATACATAACCGTGGCCCCCAGGCGTGGCCCCCGGGCGTGGCGTGGCGTGGTCCTCGCATCAATGGAAGGTGAGACGGGCCACCAACTCTGCCTTGTCATGGGAAGGAAGGAAAGTGAGGTGGGGGAAGGGAAGGCCCGTCTCCGTCTGCTGCAGGTTGGGCTGCCTACTCCTCAGGCGGCGGGGAGAGTGAGCTCCTTCCTCCAGCCAGCTGATTCATCGCTGGGTGCCCACGTGGAGCCCGTTGGGCGGCCTACCCAGGCAGGAGCGTGAGTTGCCGCCATCCCGGTGACGCCCCCACAGGTTAGTTAATCTTGTATGTTCTTAATGAATGCTTTAATTAACATTCCACTTTGGGGAGACGGAGGAGAATAAGGCAGAGAGAACAACACAGAGAAACTTCCAATTAATTTATTTACACGTTTGTTTTCGTATTTTACACGTTTGTACTGTACAGCGAGGATCAGGGAGGCATGACAGACACGGGGGTCACCTCCTCGTCCGGGCGCGGCCGAGCGCGGCGGACAGCCTCTTCTCCACGCCCAGGTAGGCGCCGTACGCGCGCCGCAGCCACACGTTGCGCGCCAGCTTGGCGATGCCCTTGACCCCCGGCACATTGACCTCCTTGTAGGAGGGCAGCGTCTTTTCGCAGCGCTTCACCCAGGCGGCCACGCGCTCCGGCACGGGCAGCCGCGGCACCAGACCCTGCGGAGGAGGAGAAGACCGTCAGTCAGGTGAAGGGGCCGGGCGGGGCCGTGCGCCGCGAAGGCGTGCGAGTGCTCACCAGCATGGTGCTGACGGACGCGATGCAGCAGCAGTCGGCGACCGTAGGCTCGCTGCCGGCCACGAAGTCGTTGTCGCCGAGGACCGCGTCGAGGAGGACGAGCGCCTTCTCCAGGTCCTTGACGCTCTCGGAGCGGAATGTGGGCTCCCCGAAGTACAGCACGGGCTCCTGCAGCACGACAACAAGGGTCATGAACGTCGTGGAGGCTTCGGAGCCTCGTTCGGAGCCTAGGCCGTGCCGTGGTCCTCCGGGACTCACCAGGATGTCGCGCACTCGGGTGAAGAGAATGGCGTTGTCGAAGTGCAATCGCTGGTCCACCACCGCCCTCTTCTGGGCGTCCTTCGGGTACCACTTGTCGCTGCCCGTCTTGTCAGCCAGGTACGTCACGATAGCGTGGCTGCAAAGTCAAACCAGTCTCGCTGTTTCAAACGAAACACGTCTAACAGACCAGATCAGCGCGTAGCGCTTGCTACTGCTTCTGATTAATATCGGCTCTCTCACCTGTCGCACAGGACAAAGTCGCCATCCTCGATGACGGGCACCGTGTGCAGCGGGTTGAGCTTAAGGAACTCGGGCGTCTTGTGGTCGCCGCGGAGAGTGTTGACGAGATGGAACTCGTAGTCGACGCCGAGGGCCTTGCAGGTAAGCAGCACGGCACGCACCGGCGGGGACCCGGTGATCCCGTGCACCTTGATGGGCGCCATCGTCTGAGAGGTGCAGAAAAACGTTGGAAGCAAAATTTTGCAAATGAGACACTTGAAAAATACGCTTCTAAAAATCTATGATGTTCTTAGTTGCTTTGGTTCACCGGGTCCCTAACCTACGCCAAAAAAACGAAAAGGAAAAAGACTCGCAGTACGTGCACCAGAGCGCTGCTGCGCTGCTGCTGCCCAGCTGAGAAGAGAGGCATAAAGGTGGGAGGAAGAGGGGGGGGGGTGAACAGGTCCGTGATTCCACCGACTCTCTCCATGGAGTCGCGCCTCTGCCCCCTCCCCTCCCCCTCCCGCGTACACCGGGCCGGCTTGAGACGCAATGCATCGAGCGAGCTCCTCCGAAAAAGACCCGCAACGCAACGTAGATAGTTGTCTGATAACACAGCTGATCAATTGGTTCCTTCATGAAATCAAACCTGTCAATCTCCCGTTATTAATTTCATTGAACCTCCTGCTGAACCGATATGCTTAACCAATATATTTGTCATTGCCACGTAAAACGAACCATTTTCCACATGCTTCAACAAATTCACTACAAGTTCCTGAACACCTAACAAACAAACTATTGACTTCGCTCTGTGAGTAGGGAAAAGAGAGAGGGGGGGGGGGGGCAGTCGGTGACACGTTCGAAGAGATAAGCATAACCTGGCGGCAGTCTCGACCCGAGCTGTCTCGGCTCAGGGACGGGGACGTGTCAGCTCAAGCAGACATTTCGATCCCGACGACGGGACCATCCCACATACGGGCGACGTGCGGCGAGCGCTAGACGACCTCTTGCAGAATTATGACAATCATAAATCGGGCGAGGTGGGAGAAGACCGAGGGGAAGGGAGGGGTAAACGATAGGGTTGGAGAGAAGGGGTGCGTGAAGGGGATAAAGAGAAGAAAACGAACGCACGTACCTTAACAGGGGCTGGCGGCTCTCCGGGGACTGGGCTGCGACTCGCCGGCATCTGGCGAGGACCCAGAGGCATTATTCCCCCTCTCCCCTCTTTCCCTCTCTGCCCCGACCCCCCTTTCCTTCCTTTCGCTCCTCTCTCTTCTTCCTCCTGCGAGCGGCGCTGGAAACCGGTAACTCCAGGAGGGCCTCCTGCTTCAGCCGGCCGGCGGACCGGGCCGCCGCTCGCACGGGCCCGCCGCCGGCCGGAGGCCGGAGCCGTCCCCTCGGCGGGCTCGGGAGAGTCACTCCGCTACAGGTACGGGCGAGTTCGTGTGGATTTTAGTCTCCAAAATGTTCGGTAAGCGGTCGTCGGCTGCTCCCTCTGCTGGCAGGCCGTAGCAAAGCTTTGGTACCACCACACTTACTCCGACCCAGGCCCGGCCCCAGGCTTAAGCGCTCTACGAAAAATGAGACGCCAATCCATTACACTATGCCCACACCGTCATGTACGCCGCAAGCAGCGGGAAAAATCGACATTACAGCTGATCACTTTGCGGTGCTAATGGTCGTGGCGTGACGCCGAGGGGCGTGGCCGCGGCCCTGGGAGGAGAGCGATTGCCGTGGCCGCGGCGTAGGGTCGTTGGCGCGCGCCGCGGTCCCGGCGCGCGCGAGCGGCGCGCGGTCAATGCCGACCAACGCGGCGCCGTGAGGGTAGGCAACTTATCGGGCACGGGCAGCAGGGGCCCGGTCGGACCGGCCAGGATGAGGGTGCCGTCGGTGGCGGCGGGGCTGCTTGCCCTTCTGCTGCTGAGGGTCGCGGGGGCCGCAGTGCCCGCCGCGCCGCGCGCCCGCGCGGCCCGGGTGGCGCGCTGGGAGGGCATGCTGCTGCACCTGGCGGCCACGCTGCGCGCCAACCGAGCGCTGTCCGCCATCCACTTCGTGTGCAGGTCGGGGGACCAGTGCATCTCCACGACGGCGCTACAGAGGTAAGTGCACGAGGACACCACTCCCCCAAGCGGAAGACCGGTGCGGTCCGCGTCCCTAACGCCCCGATACGCCGGCCGGCAGGCTGGACAGGCGGATGACGGTCGGCTACACGCAGACCGTGGCCGAGGTGCTGCCCGACGAGTGGCCCTCGGCGCCCCGCAGCTTGTACGTCCTCGTCGACCTGGACTGCCGTGCCTTGCTCAACGCCACGAAGCACGCCGACGACGTGGTGCTGCTCGTGACCGGCGGGACTCAGGAGGTAAAAGATAATGCTCCGGGGGTGCGAGTATGCAGGCCCGCGGGATAGCCCTGTGTTACGGGATTGCCTACCGAGCAGGCGCTCTGCTTCAGGTCGGCGGGTAGGCACGCCCGCGGGACTCCCTTGTGTAACGGGAGTGCCTACCGGCTCGGCGCTCTACTCCAGGGGTGCAGGTAGGCAGGCCCGCGTGACTCTCTTGTGTAACGGGACTGCCTACCGGCCCGGCGCTCTACTCCAGGCCCGCCGGACACCCTTGTGTAACGGGACTGCCTACCGGCCCGGCGCTCTACTCCAGGGGTTCGGGTAGGCAGGCCCGCCGGACACCCTTGTGTAACGGGACTGCCTACCGGCCCGACGCTCTACTCCAGGGGTTCGGGTAGGCAGTCCCGCGGGACAGCTCTGTATAACGGGACTTCCTACCGAGCAGGCACTTCTCCTGATGAGTCATGGTAATAACACCCCTTTCGGCGTCCTTGGCTGTTGTCTGTTATCTAGGAGTTTCAGACCCAAGGCAGCAGGGTCCTGGAGACGTGCTGGCAGTCCGACCTTCTCAAAGTGCTCGCAGTGCAGAGGAAAGACAGTGGGGGTGAGCAGACCCGCGCAGAGGCCGCCTGGTCCACGACGCTCCACCCCAACTAACAATAACACTGCTTACCGCCTCTGCAGAGACCGGTCTGCGGATGTACACGTACTGGCCGTACTACCCGGAGCACTGCCACGACTTGCGGCCGCACCTGGTGGCGCTGTGGACGCCGGCCACTCCGCACCGCCCCGAGGCCTTCGGGCTGCTGCCCAAGGACCGCGACCTGGGTGGGTGCCCGCTCAGGGTGACGACCTTCAAGGCGAGGCCCTGGACGGAGATCATCCCCGTCAACGGGAGCCGCATACTGCTGCACACCGGCACCTTCAAGCCGCTTATTCTCACCCTGGCGCGCTACCTCAACTTCACCCCGACCTTCTACTTACCTCTCGACGGCAAGATCTTTGGACGCTCCGATGACTTCCCCAAGTCTGGTGGCATCCTGGGCGATCTCTACTTTAACCGTTCTGATCTCGGGCTGATGTTCACCGGCGCAGACCTAAAGGTGCAAACGTTGCCTACAGTAACAACACAGTGACAAAAGAAATTACATTTAAAATACTTTTTGTGCAGCTGCCGTATCACGCGCGCCCCGCTACGGCCCAGGTCAGCTGTACGACGTGGTGCCTGCCCACGGGCTTCAACACGCGCTCGCCCTGGCGCCTCATCATCGGCGAGTTCACCACGGAAGCCTGGGGCGCCGTCCTGGTCTCCTACCTGGTGGCCATCCTCTCGTACCGCCTGCTGCTGCCCAACAGGACCTTCCGGGAGACGTGGCTCACCGCGCTGCAGGGCCTCATCTCCGGCATCAGCCCCATTCCCGAGAGCGCGGCCTCCAGGTTAGCACATTGAACTGGGCTGCCGTTGAAAACTTGTGTAGTTAAAACGTGTTTAGTGCACCTTCCAAGCTGACGCCGCCCGTCTTTTCAGAGTGTTCATCTTCTGCTGGTCCTTCGCCGGGCTGGTGCTGGGCACGCTCTACATGGCGGCGCTGCACCGCATCACTACCACCGAAACCGACGACACCGTGTTCCACTCGGTGACCGACCTGGCCGACTCCGAACTCCCCATGTTCGCGACGACCGAGCACGTCGCGGCCTACAAGTGAGTATTACTACAGCCCGCCACATGACGCCGCACACCGTCCCTAGTGGTGACAACGGCGTGGTCCAGGAAGGCGCAGTTCGACACGGCGAGCGAGCAGCGGCTGTGGCGGCGCGCGGTCACCTTCAACTACGACCAGGTGCTGCCCGTGTTCGGGCGCCTCTTCGCGCGCCGCGACCTGGCCGTGCTCATGGACCGCAACCAGTGCCGCTCGTACTCCATCACGTTCACCGCGCGCAGCTCGGCGCCCGCCTACCACATGATCCGCAACTACTGCCTGGCCGTGAGCCCCGCCTACAACCTCATCCTGCGCCAGGGCTCACCGCTGCTCCGCGCCTTCACCAAGGCCACCGCGCGTCTGGACGAGGCGGGAATCACCAACTTCTGGTTCGACTTCAAGGTCACACAT